TCATCTTTTGACTCCGCTCAGTCACACTGTCTCTCGCTCCCCCCTCCCTCCCCCAAGCTCACGTCCACAGACACCTACTGACCCGTGTCTCAGGCTGATGCCTCCCCCGGTGCCCGTCACCCAGCCCAGATGGTAGAACTGCCGGCAAAGCTCCGGGATCAGGATCCGAGGATGTTCCTGGTCCTAAAGGCACAATCAGAGACATTATAATAATCCCTATATCATGCTTTCACCAGTGGCACTGAGCTTGTTTCCAATCTGGCTATGGTTTTATTAGATGAGAAGTAGAATAGTGAGATGTAAGGATGGGTTAGTGGGTTCCTGCTGTCCTTTACTTGTGCTCCACGATCCTCACTGCTACGCTGGGTAACTTGGCCACTCTAAATCCAGGAGCGTGTTATCCACCAGACAATTGTGTAATCTTTAGTAACACTAATAATTCTTGCATTTGATATAGCACCTTATCAGGTCTTTAAGTCATCTCAAAGCGCTTCATAGGATATCTGTCGAGTGAATTGACTGGATATATAAGCTGATTAATTCAAGCTTTATAGTATTTGCATTTGACATTGTGTCTGTAACCTTGTCATGTCTCAAAGCATTTAACAGGGAACTGCAGGCCAGTGCAATAATTGTACATTTGTACTCAAACATAGTTTTACACTGACACACTGAGGATTCTCGGTTTGCTCTAGTATTTCAGCTGTTGGTAAATGCTTGTAAAGAGAACATTGCAATCCTGCATTTTGTAACAAGCTGCTTAGAGTTGGAGCTTATGGTTATTTAACAGGGTTTAAAGGTCTGAGTAACAGGAACAAAGTGCACACTCCTATTTCTGCCACCAGAAGGCAGCACCAGCCCACTAACCAGAGATTGTATGAACACACACAACTTCCACACAGAAGAAGGGAATAAATTCATCAAAGGTTGTCTATACGTTTGGGACAGAATCCTGGAGCTGAATTTGGATATATAGTCTGTAGCGAGAGGATTTGCTTGTTTAAATATTGAGATGCCAAGGTACCATTCGCCCATTCAGGTGGACGTTAAAGATCCTGTGGCACTATTGTAAAAGAGTCTTCGGTGACCCGGCCAATATCCCCCCCGGATAAATTGGACATTCATCTCACAGCTGTTTTGCTGTGGCTGCCGTGATTGCCCACGTGTGTCGGCAGCAGTGTAGTGATGACGTTTATTCCTGGTTCAAACCAAGGTTCTTACTGACGGCTGTTAATCCTGTGATGTTCTAGTAAGAATTTTGCCCTGATAGAAGCAGGGGGTTGGCCGAGAGAACAACAAAAATAACAGATTACATTTACACAGCGCCTTTCATGTGGGAAGCACATCTTAAGTCCTGTAGCTCAGTGGTTAGAGCACTCGCTTTGCAAGCGAGAGACCTGAGTTCAATTCCAGACAGGGCGAAACCTTGGGTAAGTTTCCTTACTCCACACAGAGCCTAATAATAATCCCTTCAAAAAACAAAACAATAATAAATTGGTCATTTTCAATCTACGACTGTTTGTGGGACTTGGCTTTGCGCAATTGGCTGCCGCGTTCGCCCACAAATATACAGTCAATTCACTTTACAGTGTGTTCTGTGAAGCGCTTTGGGACGTCCTCCCGACGTGAAAAAGCGCTATATCAAATGCAAGGATTATTATTATTATTATTAAGAAGCCGGACAGTCAGGGATTTGGACCCAAACTGGGGGTTGGGATCAGGAGGGTGGAGTCAGGGAGGGTAGGGGTAGGAAGGTGGGCGAAGGCACGGCTGAGAGGAGACCTTGAAGGAGGCAAAGGAGGGAGCGACGTGAAGGTGCTGTGTGATGGAGTTTCAAAGGATGGGGCAGAGAACCAGAATGTTATACTAGTGGAGACAGTAACGAGGAGCAAGGCCCAAAATCGTGCTTGTAACTTTTCACTGAAACTTTGCAGCAACTCGTTCAAGGCCTTTTGAAGCCGGAGTGTACAAAAGGGTGGAGCTGACATGGTTCTGTGCTGTTCTTGCTCTATGCCTTTTAATGATTGCTGCATTTCCTAATCCAGTTCTCTCTGTATTCATCATTCCTCAGTGTGGAGCTGCCTATCTGCATCCGCTACTGAGTAAACTGCTCATTCACCAGAGGCATGGAGTGGCCAGCCGGGGCTCCTAATAGCCTTGTTAGCACCTCGAGCAGTTTGTGCATCACATCACAGGGATGTGCTGTTGATGAATGAATGGCCTTCAGTCAGGAAGCTGCCTGTACACTCATTGACTGCTTGCTGTAGCACAGTTACGGTGACTCACAGTCAATATTTCGCACCAGCGTGTTAGCAGGGAATTTGATGAACCGTACGGAGACCTCACTTTTCAATTACTTGCCCTGGGTTGTTTTCAGGAAACTATTTGCATTCTGATGCATGCTGGGCACAAATTAATACATTTTCCATCTGTCAAAAGATGGAATTGAGTTTTTTTTGTTCATTAAAATCCAGCAAAGCTTGTGAGAGTTCTCTCAATGTATCTGACAAGCCCTCAGAGATCTACCTGATCATCTTTGTTTGTCTTTTAGCTCTGTATGAAGAGATGTCACCAGGATTCTGTTCTAAATTCAGTTTGAATTGTTGAACTTCTCATTGAACACCGCGGTGACTTCACTTCATCGTGTGAAGTGCCTTGAGATGTTTTGACATGATAAAAGAGTCACATCAAAACACAAATGTCCTTATTTTAATGATTCCTCTTTCCCCAGGTGAGACGGTGAACACCGGTGACCCACTGTGTGAAATTGAAACAGACAAGGCTGTGGTCACCTTGGAATCCAATGACGATGGCATCCTGGCTAAAATAATGGTAAGAATAGCCCTATGGAGGCAAGACGGTTGTTTGTTATCCATGCTAGAATGAAGAGAGTATTAATATAAATAATAATCCTTGCATTTGATATAGCGCCTTATCACGTCTTTGAGACGTCTCAAAACGCTTCACAGGATATTCTGTAAAGTGAATATATTTTGTGGGTGAAACTAAGAGTAACTAAAGGTCTGCTTGTTTTATTCCCATGTCCAGTGTGATTAACCATTCTCTGCAGCGTGCACTAAAGCTGGATTGGTGTGTTTCTGACGAGGGCTGGAAGTTTATTTAATTGAGGTTTTTAAAATAAAAAAAGGGATTCAATAGGGCAGACACAGATAAACTGTTTCTTCTGGTGGGGAATCCAGAACAAGGGGGCATCGTCTTAAAATTAGAGCCTGGCCATTTAGGAGTGAAATCAGGAGGCAATTTTTCACACAAAGGGAAAAGCCTGTGGATACTGGATCCATTCATATTTTTAAAGACTGAGCTGGACAGATCAGTCCCAATCTTATAGAATGGCGGAACAGTCTGGAGGGGCTGAATGGCCCTGTTCTTATGTTTCTATTATAATTAACTCCAGAAGGAGAGGAGCTAAACCCCAGCCCAGGGTGAGGTCCCAACTCGAGCCCCAGGCTTCACCCCCCCACCCCCCCGGCTAGTTGCTGCTAGGTAGGAACCCGGAAACCCCGTGGCCTTACCCAGCCAACAGTCATCCACCACCGGCTCAACTCTGACATGGCCCTGCCCAGCCCATGGCCGCCCAGGAGGAGCAGGAAAAGCAGCCGAACGGCTACCGTCAACGCCGCTTGAGGCAACTTCCACCTCACCGTCTGAGCGCGTGCGTGCTCAGTGACTCATGATGCATGATGCCACTGCGCCGCTGTGAGGTTTTATTGTGTTCCTGTTATGTGATGTGGTAGGTTTGGTATTTTGATATGGGAGTTTCTCCTGGTTTCCTGGCCAATAATCCTCTGGATAAATCGCTCATTCATCTCATGCATGGGAATTTGGTGCCACAAATGTCTGCTGCATTTGCCTACAAAAAACTACACTTACTACATTTACTATAATTAATATTAGGCAATTACTGTAATGTGTGTTCAGACCTTTCAACCTGATAAATGCTCATGACTTTGATTTCCCTCAGTACAGAAACTCTGGGCTGAGGACTCGCGGCTCTCTCCAGGCTCTCCACGCTTCCCATCTGCGGATGATACATTTTTCCCGGTTCCCATCTGTCGAGTGCTTTTAGTGTAAACCGTTGTCACTGACTGTTTGGGAGTTTGCGGATATCAGGGACAGTACTGCGGCCCTCTGGGGACTCGCTTCCCACACAGCTCTGTATCTCAACCTTCATCAGCAGATAAACCTGAACCAGTCTGTGATTAGCAGCACTACCAACAGAGGGGTCAGGCTAGTTACTGGACAGTGTGGCAAGTTACTGGGTAGTATGGCTAGTTACTGGGCAATGTGGCTAGTTACTGGGCAATGTGGCTGGTTACTGGGCAATGTGGCTTGGTTACTGGGCAATGTGGCTAAGTTACTGGGCAATGTGGCTTAGTTACTGGACAATTCCAGGCAGAGGGCGAAACTTTGGGCAAGTTTCCTTACTCCACACAGAGCCTAATAATAATCCCTCCAAAACCCCAGAACAATAATAAATTGATCATTTTCAATCTACAACAACAACAACAACAAGATTCCATTTATAGATCTACACAAACAATCTACGACTGTTTGTGGGACATTGCTGTGCGCAATTGGCTGCCGCATTCGCCCACAAATATACAGTCAATTCACTTTACAGTGTGTTCTGTGAAGTGCTTTGGGACGTCCTCCCGACGTGAAAAGCGCTATATCAAATGCAAGGATTATTATTAATGTGGCTTAGTTACTGGGCAGTGTGGCTAGTTACTGAGTGGTGTGGATAGTTACTGGGTGGTGTGGATAGTTACTGGGTGGTGTAGCTAGAAACGTTGGGCAAGTTCCCTTACTCCACACACACCCCTCTGTTTACCTAGCAGTAAGAAGGAACCCAATTATTCGTCAATTGATGGATTTTCCGTGGGTAATAATCCCTTCAAAAATAACAATAATAATTTGTCACTCAATCCACATCTGCTTGTGGGACACTGCTGTGCGCAATTGGCTGCCGCATTTCACCCACAAATTAATTTGCTTTACAGTGTATCCTGTGAAGCTTTGTGAGACGTCTCGAAGAAGTGATAAGGCGCTATATCAAATGCAAGGATTATTATTATTATCTAAAGGTTTGTTTTTAATCGGCTCCACAGGAATAATGTGCGTAATTTGGTCCATTGGCTCCGAGTTCACAAGACCAAGACCAAGCTACCCCACGTGAAGGGAGCAAGTTGTTGTTGTAGACGGCTGTGTTCAGGTGTGCAGTGGTTGATCTACAATGTGAACTTGGTTTTGCAGTTTTACAGGATCACAGATTTGACAAGGAGGGAATGAGCTAACACGAGGTTCCGAGCTGCAACAACAAATTACACTTGTATAGCGCCCTTCACGTCGGAAAGATGTCCCAGGGGGCTGGACCGTCAGGATATTTTGGACCCGAGCTGGGGGTTGGGGTCAGGAGGTGTGGAGGGAAAGACAGCTTTGTGTGTCGTCTTTGGGAACTTCAGTTCGGCACTGAACCAACGGAGGCGGGTTTTTACATCAGTTTATCCGAGTGTTGAAACCTGGAAGGTTTCCAGGCTGATTCCCAGTGGTAGCTTTAACATTGTTTGGCAAAATAATATGCTTTAATCAAACTTTTAATAGGAGAATGTTTTACCACAGCATGTAGACCGCACACTGCTTTCCTCCCCTATCAGATTACAATCAGGTGTGGCATTTTTCAGGACAGAACTATTCACACCCCAGCCAACACAAGCTGGAAATTCCCATGGTCTAGTCACGCTCTCCTGCTCCTCTCCACCCTGTATTCCTCTGTTAGCATTAAACTCTTCACACTGTAGCTCGAGCAAGTCATCAAAAGATGGAAGGAAACACTTCATTGGGGAGGAGGAGAAAGATTCTGTCTTTTTGAAATATGTGCCTATTAATTGACTAAAATATACAGTCACCACACTTTACAGTGAATTTCTTGAAGCAGAGAGGTGTCATCCTCTATCTTGGTTAGAGCACTCGCCTCACAAGTGAAAGGACCTAGGTTTGATTCCCGGGAAGGGCGAAACACTGGGCAAGTTTCCTTACTCCACATGCCTTTGTTTACCAGCAGTAAATAGGAACCCAGTTGTTCATCGATTGGCGGATCACTTTTCTGGGGGTAATAATCCCTTAAAAAAAACATTTGGTCACTGTTTGTGGGACATTGCTGTGCGCAAATGGCTGCCGTATTTCGCCCACAAAATATACAGTCAATTAACAACCTGTGAAGCGCTTTGAGACGTCTCTGAGAGGTGATAAGGCGCTGTATGAAATGTAAGGATTATTATATTATATATATCCCAAAGTGAGAGACAGATCGCACATGTGAGGAATGTTGTTTATCTGGTAAGAGCAGTGCTGTCGTTACATTCTGGATCATCCTTTGTGCACTTTCCCAGTGCCAGTCCGCCTGAATTCTTCATTAAAAAGGATTGCGGGAGCCTGCAATTCATAACCCCAAGTAATGAGGAAATCCAGCGGAGACGATGACCAGACAGAAGATGGACGATTCCATCCCCGAGAGGTTTCGGACAACTTTATTACTATTGTGATGAATCACCCTTCCTGTGGAGCAAAGAAACAAACCCCCCTTTATTTCACTTTCTGTTTATAAACCTTAGCTTGAAGCTCGGGGGAGTGTTTAGAGAGGGCACCCCAATGGCACAGGCAGTAGCGCAGGGGGCGAGGGCCATTGAGATTTTGCTAGAAAGGGAAAAGCCTGTTCAGACAAGGTCGTGCTGTTGATCTGACATTGTTCCATCACTCCCTGCTCCAAACCCACCTCTAATAATAATAGTAATAATCTGTGCATATGATATAGCTCCTTATCACATCTTTGAGCTGTCTCAAAGCGCTTCACAGCCTATACTGTAAAGTAAATTGACTATATTTTGTGGGCGAAATGCGGCAGCCAATTGCGCACAGCAGCGTCCCACAAACAGTCGTGGATTGAGTGACCCAAATACTAATTATTTTATTTTTTTGAAGAAATATTACCCCCAGAAAAGTGATCGGCCGATTGACAAACAATATATCTATTTCTATTCTGTATCTATTTATATATTATTATATACAGTATATTCCGTGAAGCGTTTTGAGACATCTCGAAGAAGTGATAGGGCGCTATACCAAATGCACGGATTACTGCTAGGTAAACAGAGGCATGTGGAGTAAGGAAACTTGCTTAACATTTAGCCCTGCCCGGGATCAAACCCAGGTCCTCTCGCTTCCGAGGCGAGTGGTCTAACCACTGAGCTACAGGACTCCACCTGTCTGCTTGCTTATGAACTGGGAATCAGACAGTTTCCTTCTGAGAATTTCACTTATGCTGTTGTTTACTGCAGTGTGTGACTGTTCACTATTCACTTGTTCTGTATGAGTGAGAAGGGATGGAAATCTCTCACGTGGCCACTCCGCAACTAAACCAAGTTTGAGGTTGAAGTAGCACTCGCTCGTCGAGGACAGGGAATCCTTCTGTGCTTCATGGCCTTGAGTCGCTGATTCCAGCACAATCCCAGTGATTCTAAAAGGAGCAGCAATGTTTTTATGAGCAGCTTTGACTCTTTGCCCTTGCCTCAGTATCGAAAGCCTGACAAATAGCTACTGCTGACATTCATTGCAATCTTCACACTATGAGAGTGAGAGTGGTCCCAGTGATGGAGTGGCCACACGCGGCTGTGAAGGAATTTGTAGGCCACAGATGTCAAGAAATATCTGTCCCCAGAGGTGAAAACCTCTAACCTGACAACCTTACACACCATCTCCCCGACTAATTGCACTGGGATGTTAAACACGATATAACTGGTACATTTATCATAAGC